CCACAATCATTCAGGCGTTTGGCAACTGACTCATACTTATGACAGCTGCAGCATCTCCCAATCATGTGATCAAAATTCAGACGCTGGGCAATGGACTCATACTTATGACAGTTGCAACATTTCCACAATCATTCAGGCACTTGGCAACTGACTCGTACTTATGACAGTTGCAGCATCTCCACAATCATATGATTAAAATTCAGGCGCTTGGCAACTGACTCGTACTTATGACAGTTGCAGCATCCCGGGATCACACGATCCGCCTTTTGCAATCTTCTGACGAGCGAATCAATGAGGCGGCCAGATTCACTTAACAACCACATTATTAACTTAAGAACTGCAGTATTCACCTAACAACGGAGTCAAGAAAAGTCGCAACATTCATTTAACAAATGTCTCACTTAGCAACAAAACTCACTCGTGGTCGTAAGTTGAAGACTACCCGTAATTACTCTTGCTCTTTACCTACTCCCTGGATGGGGAATATGGAGGGAAGCATGGATGTGACACGTAGAGTGCCTCTCACAGTGACGTTAACACGCTTTGAAGGCAATTCAAATATTCCCCTATCCCCAGCAACGCAAGTGGCCTTCCACAATGTGATTTCTTAAACTTATGACCCACCGCGATCAAGACTCCCGTTACGTCTTACCTTGTTATCGAGACTTTCTAGGACTTCCAAGTACGGTTCGTTGAGGCACCGATCATAATCCAAACTCTGGAGGGGAGAAACGAAATGCCAATCTTTTCAATCAGGGAGACGAGCAGGCTATAGCCAACTTTAAAGCAAAAAAGCCATTTAATGTGGTGGCTGGATCCACACATCACACTACAGGGTAGTCCCCGACTTACAACAGTTCATCTAGTGACCTTCGAAGCTACAGCAGCACTGAACAAGGGGACTTACAGCCGTTTTCCACACTTACGACCATGGCAGCATTCCCACCCACGTTCAAGGGATCCAACATTCAGAGGCTTGGCAACTGACTCACATTCATGAGAGCTGCAATATTCTGGGGTCACGTGATCCCCTTTTGCAACTTTCCGACAAGCAAAGTCAATGGGAAAAAAAAACAGATTCACTTAACAACTGGGGCAAGAAAGGTTGTAAAATGGAACAAAACTCAATTAACAAAGGTTTTGCTTAACGACAAAAATCTGGGTCTCAATTGAAGTCGTAAGTCGAGGACTATATGACAAACTCCATAATAATAATCTTAATCTTAATCTTACTCTTACTCTTAATCTTAATCTTAATCTAAATCTATCTATCTATATAAAAGCAAAATACCACTCCACGCATCATCACAAAATCCCCAGAACCGTAAAGCCTACAAACTTGAAATTTGGCACCTATGTTCCTCTTGGCTTCTAGGTGCTAAAAGAAAGGATTTTTCAAAATGACCATCAGAGCCATTAATATTTCGTATATTATTATTATTCCCACGCTCTGTTGCTAAGGATTTCTACTCCCCCTCCCCACCTGAAAAGAAATCTCTTCCAAATGCAAAACACAAGTAGAGGAGTTTCAGTTTCACAGCACCAAGCAGCTTTAGCACAGAACAGTTGAGCTAAGCCACGCCCAGGCTCCTTGCTGTCTCCTTCCTGCTCACACAGTAAATACTATTTCAGTTTCCAAACAGCCCTCAACTCTCTCACACACTGACAGGACGCTAGCCAGATGAATACTGGTGGATGCTGGTAGGCAGAATTTTTCCCCTTATTTTCCTCCCCAAAAACTAAGGCCGACCACATCGTTTCATAGTGAAGCACGGGTACCGAGCTGGTCCTATGATAAACTAACCGATCAACCCCAATTTTGAGTGCTGCAAGAAGTTGGCTGCTATGTGTACCTAAAGCCCCCCTCTCTGGTGTAACTGAAAATGCCATCCTAAAAGCACTTTATGGTGACTCAACCTTCTTGTCCAAGCCATTTTCTTTCCAGCCGCACAAAAGAAATTTGCCATTCTTTCAGGCTGTGTTGTCCTGCCTACAATCCTGAGATTTCTTTATGGTTTTTGGTTTTTGGCCTTCCTCTCCAAGCCTGTTTCAATTTAGTTTCTGCACATTTCATTACCAAACTAGGTAAAACATCAGCCAACAACAATCCTGATTACAGTCAACAAAACGTTCAAGAAACTGAAACAAACTTGGAGAGCCAACCAAAAAAGCCGAAATCTAAAACCCGAGGTACAAGTATTTTCTATTATTTCAAAATTTCTTTGTGGTCTCCATTCCAAGGATACTCAACTCTGGCCTTGCTTAGTTTCCCAACATCGATTAAAGTGGCAGAGTTTGCCCTCCCCACTCAAAAAAAGGGGGGTGGGCTCTGAGGAGACCTACTCAGGAATGAAATGGCTTTGGGCTACTCCTCTATATTTGTAGTCTTTTAAGAGAGAAGCAGAAACTCCCAACAACATCCTTTTTTTCTGCAATGCTTCATGTTCTTCCTAACAAATTAAGCTATTTTTTTATTTTTTATTTTTGGAGGCATTTCACCTCATAGTCTTTACGGGGCAGAATTTCATCGTCTTCATCCTCGGTCTCTCCAAGGATAGTCTGCAAAATAAATAAACAAACAAACAGGTCAATATGATAAAAGGCAAACCGGCTATATTCATAACCGACCAACATCCAAGAAAAAAAATAAATCAATTAAAAAATTAAAATTAAAAAGCCAAGATTTTTGCATGAAGTGCCTACCCAGGCACCTTACTGAAGTCGTTGCCACGCCAAAGAGGCAAGACTTCTGTTTTCATTTTTAAGTTTTTGTTCTTTCAATTTAAAGTTTTTTTTTTATTTCTGTGGTTCTCTTGTGTCACAAATAATTTTTGTTTTCTCTTTTTTAAATTATGATTATTTCTCCTCCCCTTCCAAACCTTCTCAGAAAACTTGGCAGCGCATTTTGAATTTTGAACCTCTTGGTTCAGCAATGGAACTCTGTACGTGCTCAGAGGTGCCCTCTCCACTTTGCTGTGGAGGTAAGAGCAAAAAAAAAAATTGCTACCACACCCAGCCTAATTTGCATATGCAAATATGATGAGGCCCCCTCCCCCCAAAAATGTACTGAAAAGGGGGGGGTCCAACAAGGGAAGCCCCTCCCAGCCCACCCCTCACCAGCTCTTCCGGGGTGCGGCTCTCTCTTTCCCCACAGCAGCAGCAACAGCACCCGCAACATCCCCCCCGGCACCCCGCCGCCATCGTCGCCCCTCAAGGAGCCCACTCTGGTGCCCCCCAAAAAGCAGCCCGCCTTCGCGCATGCGCTTCCCAGAAAGACCCCCCCCCCAGGCGGCGCAGAAAAGCGGAAAAAGGAGGGCGTTCCTTTAAGCTTTCCGCTCATTGGAAACGGCAGCTTCGGGGCGGAAGTTGTTCGTTCGGCCATCTTTAACGTGGGCGGTGAAATAGGAAGTGGAGCTGTAGAGCTAGGAAGAGGAGGGAGGGGAGTGAAGAGATGCAATCTTTTGTGTCAAGGAGACTTCCTCAAGAATTACCATTAAATATTTTTTTAAAAAAATATGTTATTAGTAGCAGAATTTCTTACAGAATCCACAGGCGTTGGGAGTCCAATAAATTTAAATAAATAATAGCAACAGCAATATAATTTGTGACATATAATATACATGGGTATATGCGTAATTCTGTATTTACAAATTCCTTGTGTATCCAATCACACTTGGACAATAAAGAATTCTACTGTACTCTATTCTATTCTGTTTATCTGTATTTATTTATTCAGTTATATTATGTACTGTATATTGGAGGTGGTGATCCTTTGAAAACTCTGCAATGAAATTTCACTTTAATATATGCCGATTAGCGTACATTCAAAGTGGCAATAAAGTTATTATTTCTATTCTATTCTAAGTACTATTGTATTATATCCATATTGATATTTTTTTCTCAAAGAACTGGGCTTGGATTTATATATTATCCCAAAGCAATATTGCTTTTGCTGTGGGAAAATTCACAGCTATTTTCAAGATGCATGCAATGTAAAAAAAGAAACCTAACAAAGTGGACAAAAAGTCAAAACACATATTATCACCCCTAGTTGAACATTGACAAATTAATTGCAACAACAGATTTTGCTTTTGCTTTTTGTCCTTTTTAATTCACGTTTTTCTTCTTTTCTATTTTGTATTTTAACCTTCTGAATAAAATTAAAAAAACGAAGTTAAAAAAAACCCCAAGGAAATGAAAGAGATGCTCTAGGGTGACCTTTGTGGCAAATTAAACCCTTATATTATAAGCACTGATGAAGGAGGAGTTTCAGCAACATTTACATCCTATGGTACAATGTCACAATCAATCAATCGATAGATAAATAAATAAATAAATAAATAAATAAATAAATAAATAAATAAATAAAACAAAGTTTTAATTCAACCTTGCAAAAAACATGCATTTGGCTGTTTTCTGTGCCTTCCCTCAAAGCAGGGCAAACTGTCATGTGACTTTTTTCCCAATCTTTCCAGACACCCCATTCAGATATATTCCTCTCCAGCAATCTGTATGTCTGGATTGCTATGGAAAATAGGCCAAAGGTTTTCATGCACACAGGATCTGTGTACAGTTCCAGCCAGACTCCAGATATAGCAACCACTGGAGGCTTTTATGGCACATCAAAGAGCGATAATAACCTGCCTTATCTGGTTAATCAGTAACCTGAACTATTATTATGATGTCCTTGTGGCCTGATTCCAGAGCCGCAATCCTTTTATTTTTAGCTCTCTTGCAACTGTTTTATATGCAAGCTGTACATTAAAACACACGTGCAAAGTGGAATTTGCTGCTTGCTGCTGCCCAGACAATTGGTGATTGAAATGAACAAAGAATCATTTATGGCTCTAAAATCAAGGCAGATAAGGAATTAAAATTATTTGGATTAGATTCTGGGCTCCTTGCTTATTAAGCTACGGTGCAAAGGATAAAAACAACTCAGATTTGTGGTGAACCAGGCAACACATGGCAACAATAACAACAACGAAGGACAGACGTCTGGGGTTTAAAAAGATAAGGGTAAATGACGTCAGCGTTGCCATCTTAGAAGCAGACATCGGGCCACCCCGCACGAGGGGGCGTGGCTGTAAAGCCCGGAAGTGGGCGTGGCTTTGCCATTGTATTTTAGATGCGGAGATTTAAACGAAGGCGGCTACGAGGGAATCACTGAAGGTTTGTTACGCATGCGTTCTCTGTCTCTCTCGCTCGCTCTCTCTCTTTTTGGCTTCGACGCCCCTCAAAGTGTGCGCGTGAGGGCGTGAGGGAGGGGGTCGCCGCGAGGAAGGTGAGTATGTGTGGGGGGGGCGCACGCCGCGCACGCGGAGCATTCCATTTCTCCGGACCATGGGGGGGGGGAAGATGAGAAGAAAGCCCCTTTTCTGTGTAAGCGGCTGGCAAGGGAGGAATAGAAGAAACCATTAAGAAATGGAGAGTGGGGGAAGAAAGCACTCCTTTCTTTTTCTTTTTTTCTCTCTATGTGGGTCTGGAGTGGGACGAAAAGGGTCCGAAGAGATTTTTTTCCGGCGGCCACAAAATAATGCATTTTTAAAAATAATAATATTAAAGCCGAATCTCCTCCCCACCCCTGCAAATCCCTTTCCCCCAGGGAATTTAATGCCTATAATTCAATGTTTTGCATGCGAATGAATCAAAGGCTGGAGAGAAGCCTGCGGTTTTTTCTTGGTCCCTTCTTGCAAAGTAGTTTTGCAATTGCATTCTTTTGCAAAGTACCTTTTTGTTTGTTTGTTTGCAATCTCCCTCCCAGCGCTTCCAGCGATATGGAAATAAAATCGATTTTTTTTTTTAATCCTTGGCAGTCGCCAGTTGCAAACTGAAGACCAATGCAAAGTACCCCTTCCTTCCCCAGGAAGGAAGGGGAAAAAAAACCCTAACGAGAATGGCAAAGGTGATTTCCTTTGGCCCCCATTTAAAAGAAAACATTTTCTTGCCATAAATAAAAGTCTCCAGCTTTATAAATAGGTAGCAGATTTTGCCCCCTTTTATGGGCGGGCTGAGAGATGGAGGACAACCTCCAACTTTGAGGCTACGAAGTCCTGCCATCCATACACAATGCCACTCTCAGTAGGTGGACTGCAAGTCCCATTGCCACGAACTACAAGTCCCATCCTCGTTAACCACGTTACCACACCAGATTAATGGCAATTGTAATCTTAACGGACAGCAGTACAGTGTAGTGGTTAAAGGCGTTTGGAATAGTCTTCCCTTGTACAGGAAAAAAACACCAGGGGTGTGGGGGAGTGTCTTTGAACCAGCCCCCAAACCATCAGAATTAGAATGACCCCAAAGGACCATAACAAGTGGGGAAAGATCCTGGATCAAATATTTATATTTTTGGCCTGCAATTTTGCCAGTTTTTTGCAGTTCTGCTGGTGTTATTGCAGGAAGCTGCAATTTCTTGATGTATTTTATAAAATTCTTGGACATGGTACCAAGTGCCCCAATGACTATGGGTATCACTGTTAC